AGTAGAAACAATCATTAATATATGCATTACAATAGACTATTCACTTCACATCTCTTGGGATGCGTATGCGATCCTTCTTCGAAACCTGCATAAATACAAAATACTCAATATATACACCACGCTGTCCTTTCCAAAGCCAAAGTTATACTGCTTTTTAGTTTTTCATAGAAAATTGTTAGTCAACATTATTAGACTTCTCTAAACTGCAGCTCTCATGAAGACTGAAGAGAGAATAACAAGTTCAAAATTGTGAAATATACATTTAAAAGAGATTAACACATTCTAATATGTTACCATTATAAATTTTGCAGATTTTTTCGTGACATTTACAAATGAACTATTCGTGAGTACTACGGAGTAATAGGTTATTGGTAAGTTCCGGAATTTTGGATTCTCATAATTCGTAAATAACAATTACCTATTTGAATACTATGTTTGAAAAATTGATATTAAAACGTATCATGTTACTTCTTCTATATTTAATTTACACATTTCTATTTTATTTAAAATGAATTAGGAAAAATGATTTTCTTATAGGTTTTTGGTTAACTACTTTAATGTATTATCAAAGTTTTTTTTTCATGAATTGATAATCCACAGTAAAAACTAGTAGTACCATGTTCTATACAAGTGTCATTTTCTCTTTTCCTTTTCTTCAGTCAATTAGAGGTTTAGAAAATCTCTTATTTTTCTTATATATATAATATATAATATTGGACAATCCGTAAAGGCAAAGCCAAAAGATAAAGCTATAGTTTTCCCCTGTATGAAAGAAGTAAAGAACAAGAAACCGGTAATTGCCTTTTTCTCATATTTTTTCTTGTGCTACCACATTATATTAATTTGGAAATCGAAGAAGTAATGGGGTGAGCTGATTAGGCAAGAAATTGCTCGTCTTCAGCTTATTGAGGATATAACTCTTGATAGGAAAGTATGGAGAACGAGAATTAGAGTAGAATATTAATAAGTAGTCGAGCGTATTATATTTTCTTTCCTTACCAGTAGTACTAGTATTATTCTTGTATTTTCTTATTCTTAGATTTCTGTTACTATCTGATATTATTCTGCTTCGGTTTTATTATCATTTTACTGTTGTTATTGCTTTCTTTTCCATGGCTTCTTTATTATCGTATTTTTTTAACTGTTGTGGTTATGCTTTTCTTGAGTCGAGGATCTATATATCGGAGATAAACTTTCTACCTTCACAAGGTAGAAGTAAGATTTGCGTACATGGTACCCTCCTCAAACCTTACTTGTGGAATTATACTGATATTTTGTTGTTGTATTAATTGGGAAACCGATTACCCAGTTATGAAATTAGCTCACCCGCCTGTAACAAAGTACATGCCGTTACCAGACGTGACACGTGTCTAACCCGTGATTTGATTGGTCGGTGATTTAACTGATCATACACTGCTGTGCATTGGTTACTTTCTTTTTACGTGATCAGTAACGGAGTTTGCATGCCTCTGTGTTAAGTCCTATTGTCCTCCTACATAAACATATCACTATTCACGCACCATGGGTGAGTAACATCATGAGAAAAACAAAGGAGTGAAATGGTTTATAAATTTCCAGAGGAAAGTAATTTTTGTAAATATTTATCTAAATGCTTTCATTAAATTAACGAAAACAATAGATAATTTGAATCCAAAGANTATATCTAAAAATAGAAAGGGACCCTTGGAGCAACAGTAAAGTTGTTTCTGTGTGACCTATATGTTCGAGCCGTGGAAGCAGTCAGTGTTGAAGGCAGTAATTTCTCCAAAGGTGTTCAAACTTGAAAGAAGTGAAAAAATTCTCTGACAAATTAAGGGTGTTCAATATTTTTTATATACCTTTAAAATCTAATATACTATCTAATATATGCAGTGTAATTTTTCGTCGAAAAATGGTCAATTGACCACCTTTTAAGACTTGTAGCTTCGCCCCGGGAAGTAGTCAATAATGCTTGCATTAGGGTTGTCTATATTGTATCCCTTGGGGTGCGACCCTTCCACGGCCCTGCGTCAATGCATGATGTTTTGTGTATTGGGTTGCCCATTTAATCAATATGTCTAATCACTTAATCATGGTTGAATAATATTTATATACTTTTACTTTAATTTTCACTACTTATCAAGGTTAAACTATTTGAATTAACGTAATCACTACATGCTTAAGTATTTACAAAAATTCTCTTATATTCTCGTGGGTGCAAAATTGTTTCCTTAATTTTCCTTTCTCACGTGGACTCAAACTCAATTTCCCGAGTTGAAGGTCTTATTTCCCTTGTAATAGTACCTTTTAGCAATTTATCGATTGACTTGTTCAAGTAAAAGGTGCACTACTAGTGAAGTTTTTGCATGGATTTGACCCTTCATTTACCATATAAATCAGCATCATCAACTGAAGATAGACAAGTTAAATCCAATGGGGTTAATAGATTTTTTTAATACCCATATATTTGGACCATTTATGCCCACTTCGATTAATTTCTACTAATATACATGATATTTCTATTAGCACATGGATCAAGTAACCAGAGGGCGGATTCAGAAATTAAATTAAATTTGTTCAATGTTTAAAATTTTTAATATTGAACTCATTATACTAAGGGTGGGCGTCGGTCGGTTATTATGAAAGTACGGTTCGGTTTATCGGTTTTCGATTTTGTAATATTAATAACCAAATCAAACCAAAGTTTTTACGGTTCGGTGCGATTTTTTCAAAGTTCGGTTCGATTATTTTCGGTTTATTTTTTTGGTTTTAAACGGTTGTAGGAACAACAAGTATTTACGGTTTGTAGGAACATCAATAAACAAGGTTGGAATTTATTTGCTTTTCGTCCAGCCCAACAACAAATTGTCATTTTGACTTTTGAGAAAGACAGCCCAGCAAATTGTCATTTAGTTGTACCCAGCAACAGAGAAAGACAGTGGCAGACGACAGTCTAACACAAGTTTTGCTGATAATAACACTCTAATGTGAAACTACACTATAAATGAAACCGAGAATAGACTATAGAGAACAAGCACACAGAGAGCAGGGAGGCCTTCAGTGGCATAAGTGCAAACAGAACACCTAAGTAGCAAAATATCGCACAGTTCAGCAGTGGCAAACTAGTCCAAAATAGTTTAACATAGTGACAAATCTAGCAGCTATCAAAGTCCAAAATAAGTCTAGAAATACCATCACCAAACAACAAAACAGTGACAAACTAGTCACAACCCACAAGCCGCAAAGTAAGTCTAGAAAATGATACTTAAAGCCTTAAATACGAATCACTGGATGAGGCATGAGACACTTCTTAATATGCTTCACTAAGCCATAAGTGCCATAATACTTTGGATGACACAATGAAGGCACTTTGCTTTGCGGGCTTCTTCACTTACTTTAACTAGCTCAAAATATTCCCAAATAGGCGATCTAGCTTTAGGACCACGAGGCATAGTTGAACCTACAAAGAAAAATTAGAAAATTTCACAAGTTAATAAAATATTTTTAATTATAAATAACAAAATAATATCATAAAACAAGCAAATCTTTAAACTTACCACTTGTTCAAACATTTATCAAATAATTATGCGTAGATACTAATTTTTCTATGTTCATAAGTGGAAACATGTTTAATATGTACCTTTCTCTTTTAACTTTAGAGTTTATTTACATTACTTATTTATTGTAGTGGTATGTAAAGCAAATCCTTTGCTTTTTAGGTTGGCCATCTACCTAGAAACCTCATTCGGCAGAAACATCCAAGCACCTTGCTCTTTTAACTTTAGAGTTTATTTACAATACTTATTTATTGTAGTGGTATGTAAAGCAAATCCTTTGCTTTCTCGGTTGGCCATAAACTTCCTTTGGCAGAAACATCCAAGCACCTTATTATTTTATTGGTGTACTTGATTGCTTTTTGAAAATTTGAGAGAAATTGTGGTGCGTAATACTAAAGTAAAGTTGTCCATACGTTAGACCTGATTTTGAAATATACTGAAGGGAAAGACTAAGACAGTAAGACATTTTCTTTCTTCATACATAAAAGAATAACAGTGAGACTAATTGAAAAATAACATAAACAAAAGACTAACACTGAGACTAATTGAAAGTCAACATACACAAAAGATTAAGACATTTTCTTTCTTCATAACTCAGAAGAACTCGCACTAACCTGAGGATGAAGGATGAAGGATGAGCGACGAGCTGAGGAAGAAGGCGTCACAGTTGAGCTGAGGAAGAAGGCGCAGAACTCACAGGAACTTAGAAGAAGTCGCAGCAGTCGGCGACGATGAGTCGCAGTAGTCGCAGTCGCAACAGTCGCACATGAAGAAGGAAGAACCGAAGAGGCGAACTTTTCAATTGATGTAGGTTTGAGAACCCTAAATCTAATTCTTTATTTAGGTTTGGGAAATGGGAAGTAACTAAGTGTAATATGTATTAGTGATTTAGTCAGTTGTAACCGATAGGTTTGGACTTTGGGTATTAGACACACTATCAATAAGTTTGGGTAAACTAAATTGGGCTTCATAGTTCAAATAGATATTGGGTTTCAGTCTAAAATGGGTAATAACTAATACCTAAAATTTCGGTTATTCGGTTAAACCGAAATATCAAAATCGTAAACCGCACCGAAAAACCGAAAATTAATAATTTAAAAACCGTGTACCGACCGAAAAACCGATTAAACCGAAATCGAAATCGAAAAATCAAAATTCATGGTTCGGCCGGTTTTTTCAGTTCGGCTGGTATTATGCCCACCCCTATATTATGCTGTTAAAATTATGGGTTCAAATCTAATACTTATTGAGATTTTAGTAGATTTTTATACATAATTCTATACTTTATGTCGAAAGTTATGAGTTCGGTTGAAACTATAATTGAAATGAGGTAACTCTGTCCATCTTTACAATTTTAAAAATTTAAGATTGAAAAAGAGATAAGGAGAAAAATATCAGTCATAGTACATTGAGCTTAAAGGTTGTACTTTATTCTATATCCATTTTTATAGAACTGATGAGAGAGAGAAAAGGTGAAAACAAACTCAATTGCAACGCTGTCTTCTTCCTCTTCTCTCTCTCATGCCATTTTCACACAAAAGAGACACAGCAAAACCGGAAATAAAAAAGAAGAGAGAGAGAGAAGAAAGAGAGTGACTTTGATGAGGAGCTTGACGAGTGCGTAAAAAAGGAAAAGCAAATGTCGGTTCTCTTTATTTATTATCACAAAATATATTGTTCCTTTCTTCAACTCTTTATCTTCCTTTCATTTTAATTCGGTTCCATTCGATTTGATTCAGTTTTAGCTATTATTACTCTCTTTTGTATGGTGAGCTATGTATTTTTCAACTGAAAATGTGCAAAATGCGGTGGTGATTTCATTCGAATTGTTTTTTGTGATCTGTTTAGTTGCCGAGAAAGTGTGCCCTTTTTTATGTGCATTCTGTATTTTTTAAAGCAAAATTAAGGAATTAATGATAAGGTTATGGAGCAGTTTGGTTTTTAATCTGAATTTTCTCAAGTTAAATGTGCCGAATGCGATGTTAATTTCGTTCGAATTGTTGTTGCAATCTGTTAGGTTGTTGAGAAAATGCTGGAAACTCTTTCCACCGGAAAGCGTCGAACTTTTTTTAATTTTTTTTGTGCATTTGCGGTTTTTATTTTTTGAGCTCCGAAAAGTTTCAACTGAAATGTGCAAATGCGGTGTTATATTCGTTCGAATTGTTTTGTTGTTGTTGTGATCTGTCCGAATTATTCAACTGAAATGTGCCAAATGTGGCTTTTTTTTAATTATATATATTTATATATATAGCAAAATCAAGGAATTATTAGTAGCAATAGGTTATGGAGCAATTTTGGTTTTTATTGGAAGTTTCTCAAGCAAATGTGCCAAACGTGGTGTTAATTGCATACGAATTGTTGTTGCCATACATTTGGTTGCTGAGAAAATGCTGTAAATTCTTCCCTAAAAAAGGAAAAAGAAGAAAAAAAATTAAATTTTCGTGTGCATTCTGTGTTCTTTTGCAAAATTTAAAGAAAGTCTGAAATTTGGTTTTGCTCCGAATCTTTTCAAGTATAATGTGCCAATATGGTTGTAATTTCAGTTGAGTTGTTGTTGTGATCTGTTTGGCTACCGAGAAAATGCTGGAAATTGTTCCAACGGAAAAAATAGAAGAGGAAAATTTCACTGTGCATTATTTGAGTTTTTTGCAGCATTACATTATGACTGCTTGATTTATTTGAAGTTTCTTGATATTGAGCAGTTTGCTGTTAGTGCTGAATTTCTCAAGTATAATGTGTCATTATGTTGTTAATTTTAAATGAATTATTGTTGACTTGTCGCAATACATTTTGGTTACTGAGAGAGTGCTGGAAAAAATTTATACTGTTTTTGAAGAGAAATAAGGATCAGAATAACTGTTTCCATTAGTTGTAATTTTCTGCTTTAAAAATTTAATTACTATAATTTTTTATATTTGTACATTTCTTGCACCTACAGCGATATAGTATATGTATTTTGTCTTCTAATCTTTTTTTGGTTTGGTTTACAGATCATGTTAAAAGAAACTGATTGTTTTGTTTTAATAGGATTGTCAAATCTGAAGCAGATCCACATCGCTTATCTTGGAATCTGAGTTTCATATGTTGATTATTCATCTCTCTGTTTTCCTGAAGAATTAGTGGTAAATATGATTTATGGAATCTTGTAGTCTTCATAGCTACTTTACCTTAAAGAGTTGATACGAAGAATATACCAATTTGTTGCAGACTAGTAATCCACCATGAACTGGAATCAGCAAATGGAAATTCATTACACGAACGCTGCTATGCCTTATAATTCAATTGGAAGCTTTATGGATTTCTTTGGAGGTGTTACATATGACCATGTAAATTATATATTTGCCGATCCTCCATATGGTCAGGTACATTCAGTAGTTTTACAGAAATTGATCTTTTTTTTCGGTCTACACCCTTGTTGTGCATTCACCTACTTTCATTCTGTTCCTGCATTTCCAACTTCTGCCTTTGACCCTTGTTATGCAGGATTGTGCAAAATAACCTGTACAGATGAGGGTAAGGGTACAACTGGAACACTGATCAGTTTTAAATTAGTAGAATTAACTGCGTGACCCTGGACATGTTGTAAATCATGATTGGATAAGCAGATATTACAAATAGTACTCATGAATATGAAAAAAGAAATACCGTGAGAAAGTGGAAATTTGTTTATCAAGTATGTGCTGTTCTATTATGTACATACATTTGTCTAGTAGTGTGCAAAGAGCAGATTCAGAACCATGCCTTAGTACACATGTACTACATGTATCAACTGCATAATTATCAACTATGCTGCATTTAATGGACACTAGCTCTCGAATTGCTCAAGCAAACTAAGGAACTCTGCTACTAATTGCTAAGCATATGAGGACCTTAGAGGTACCTTTGGATATCATTTAACTGCAACATGTACATTCTCTTCATGCATCTTTGGTTTCGTCTATGTCAAACTGTCAGTCACATGGAAATGTAGAGCAAGATTTTGAATAACAGTGCTATATGACTTCTCTGATCCTTGCAGGAGAGTTTATACCCATCCATCAGTACCAATCCCTACAAATTTGGGTACTCTGAAGCAGGTAGTTTCTCATATTACGAATATGGTCATGAATATGTGGTTAATGATCATGTATCTGGAATCAAGGAGCATGATAGACATTTAGAGAACCCTTCAACCGCCACCGGCGACCAGAATGTAGCTGCAAATGTGCATAGAGAAGCAATTTCAGGCTCCAATTCACGCACTAATTATGTGGAATGTAAGTACTCTTTTCACTCTCTTTCTACTGCAGTTGATATGCACAAGTTTTTGAAAATATCCCAACAAAAGTAGAGAATGTCTTAGCACAGCTGTTGTGCTACGAATGTATAATATGTCACCATTCTCAAAATAGTAGAATGTACCTATGTGTACGGAAACATCTTCACAGTTTCTCTCTTTATTCTAATTACATTGTGTATATGACTAAATATTGTTAGGAAAATGCACCGGGAACGATTTAATGATCACTTACCATGAATATTTATTTTTGAATGCTAATTGATGAAAAAATGAAAGTTTGGGAGAGGGTGGTTGAAGCAAGGGTGAGGAGGTCGGTATCTATATCCGACAACCAGTTTGGGTTGATGCCGGGTCGTTCTACTACGGAAGCTATACACCTTATTAGAAGACTGGTGGAACAGTATAGGGAGAGGAAGAAGGATCTGCACATGCTGTTTATTGATCTGGAGAAAGCGTATGACAAGGTTCCTAGAGAAGTTCTCTGGAGATGCCTGGAGGCTAAATGTGTGTCGGTTGCCTACATTAGGGCGATTAAGGACATGTATGATGGGGCTAAGACTCGGGTTAGGACAGTAGGAGGCGACTCTGTGCAATTTCCGATTGTTATGGGATTGCACCAAGGTTCTGTGCTCAGCCCGTTCTTATTTGCCCCGGTGATGGACGCGTTAACACATCATATTCAAGGGGAGGTGCCATGGTGTATGTTATTCGCTGATGACATAGTTCTGATTGATGAGTCGCGAGCAGGTGTTAACGAGAGGCTGGAGGCCTGGAGACAAGCTCTTGAGTCTAAGGGTTTCAAGCTGAGCAGGACAAAGACGGAATATCTGGAGTGCAAGTTCAATGCTGAGTCGAGGGAAGTGGACGTGGATGTGAGGCTTGAATCACAGGTCATCCCGAGTAGAGGCAGTTTCAAGTATCTTGGGTCGGTTATCCAAGGGGGAGGGGAGATCGACGAGGATGTCACACA